GGTAACACACAATTTTGCTTTCTGAGAACATTGAGCCTTTGTCTATTTGTCAAGTTTTCTGACTTAGGCATCGGAGAGGTTTCCGGCACACACCCGCCGGCTAGCTCACGTTTGTGTTTTCAGGTGATAAAGCGACGTCGTACGGAGGAGCGTGGACTTGGTCAACAGGATTATACGAGGAGAATTATTTCCTCCCCGTACAGTTTATAGCTGTGAACATAAGCTGATTTTTGACTTATAAATTAAGCTTCTCCTCCCCCACTCAAAGAATAAATTGATTTTTGACTTACAAAAAGCTATAAGCTGTATTGTTAAGCTGAACCAAACACATCAAAATAACTTAAATTAAGCTAAAAACTGAAATAAGCTGGAAATAAGCCCTACTAAACAGGGCCAATAAATAGATTGGATCAGGATGCTTTCTCATATATATTTTTTTTCCTGCAAAATAATATTAATATAATAATTCAACGATTCAAATTTAAGTACAATCAAACCACGTCTTTTTAGAGTGTGTAGTTTAAAATAAAAATAAAAATATTTAAATATTATTTTGCATTGATTTCAAACTTAAACAGTTAAATTATGTTTTTGTTTACGCGAGCTTTGCATAGAAGAATGGCAGATAGAATGGATTGGATGCATGAACTATGTGCTTGTTATTATTATATTCTTCAACATGAACTCCTGCCTAACCTTCCATGAGGCCTATGACGAAAATTTAATGGGAGACTTTTTATATTTAAATGTAAATTTAAATAATATTTATCAGTTTTTGTGTGTAGTAATTTATTATGTAAAATTCAATTTTCTCTTTGATTCTTGTAACTAAAATTTTGGTAAGTTATTTAAAGCCTTTACAACAGTTATGAAATGAAAAGTGTCATAAGTTACTCAATAAATGAAATTTATAGATTCAAAGTGAAGATTATCATTAAAAATAAAAGAAAAAAAAAATCAATAGTAACCTATGAAATATGGGCACTTTTGACCAAAATTATTTATTTCATCCATATAACTAATTACATCACTATTAATACTATTATTATTTGAATTACATCATTATAGGAATGTCAAGCCCGAGACAAACAGTAGTAGCTTATGAAGGCATTTTGACAAACATATTATATTCGTGCCGAGTATTATCAAGAATCGATACTTTGTATCACTACAAGAATTTACACATTTTGCGACCACTTTTACCGACCAAATAAATTTTGGTCGCAAAAAAATAACATTTGGCGACCAAATATTAATTAGTCGCGAATGATCATTATTTTTGGCAACCAAATATTATTGGTCGCAGAAGGTTATATTTTGGCGACCAAAAAATGAGTTGGTCGCAGAAAGTGGTATGCTTTTGCCAACCAACTACAAATTTAGTCGCGGAAGGTCACATATTTTTTGGCGACCAAAAATTTGGTCGCCAAAAACTTATTTTCAGTAACCAAAAAAAAATTAGTCGCCAAATTTGTACTTTTAGCGACTAATATTTTAGTCGCCGTTGATTGAGATTTGGCGACTAAAAAAGTTTGTCGGCGAAGGTACCTTTTCTATGACTAATATAGTCTTTTGGTCGCCAAAAATTTGGGAGGGAAATTTGATTTTTATAGAGGCGGGAATTGAATTTTTTTTGCGACAAAAAAATTTGGTCGCCATTTTTAAAACGACGTCGTTTTGTACATGAAAATAGAAAAAAAAAAAGAGAAAAAAAGCCCTAATCTCTTCTGTCTCTAGCCCCCTCTCTGTGTCCATGTTGGTCTGCCCTCTCCCTCTCTCTGTGTTCTCTCTCTCAATCGGTGCCCACTCTATGTAGCTCACCGAAGTCCCTCACCACCATTGCTCAAGTCCGTCGCACATCGCCACCGCCGCAAATCGCCATCGCCCTCTGTCTAATGGAGTCCTCATTTCTAGAAGATCCTCACCCAATCTCACCTCATCTCAGACCAACGTCGCACGCCACTGCTAGCGCCACCACTGTCGCCGCCGCATCCTCACAGGTTCTCTCTCACTCTCGGTCTGTCTGTCTGTCTCTCTGTTTCTCGCTCTCTCCCTCTCTAGCCTTTTAATTATTTGAGATTGCTTTCTCAATAACATTAATCTGAAGGGCAGATTTTGATTCTGAATCTTGCTCACCCCATGATTCCACATCAAATTGATCATCTTGTAACTCAACCTTTTGTTCCAATGGAGTTCTTAGCTCTACATTATGATGGATAGGTGAAGATACAGTGTCTTCTGTAATCTCAATAGCATTAATCTTCTGGGCAGATTTTGACTCTGAATCTTGGTCATGTTGATCTGAAGACAATGGGACTGTGGTAGCATCAACAATATGCATTTTTAGCTCTGCATTATGATGGGTAGATGAAGATACAGTATCTTCTGCAATCTCAATAGCATTAATCTTCTGGGCAGATTTTGACTCTGAATCTTGGTCATATTGATCTGAAGACAATGGGACTATGGTAGCATCAGCAATATGCAGACCGTTTCTGGATGTTGCAACCATAGAAGAGTCAATAACACTATTGAGGAATTCTGAATTAGAATCATCACAAGAAACTGTATTGCACAAAACAGAGTCCAAATTTGATGAAGCAACTACCTGTTGATCCACCTCATTTTCTGTGCAAGATTCTTGAAGATGCTCTGGGGAACATGCCTCATTGATTTCCATACCATTCTGATGTAAATCCTCAAGAATAGTAATAGATTCTTCATGCAATTTTGTGGGACTGGTAGAAAAAGATTTGTTAGCCTTCATTATCATCACAATGCGAGCCAACAACAGCAGTAGCCACAATCACAACTTCTGAATGAACAGTTTCAGTTACTACATCATCTAAATGCACATCGGGAACTGGTGGAGGATCTGGAGAGCTTTGAAAATCAGGTGAAAATTTAAGGCTGCTATCATCCTTTCCAATGATATCCATGTCAGTGGAGAATCCACCCGATTCTTCACAATCTGCTGCATTGGAAGCCACATCAACATTTTTCTCTCTAGAATATGAAAAACCCACTTCTGCTGAATCAAGTTCATGTGGGGAAATATTTTCTGATATTCCTGAGAACTGATGCTTTGTAAAGCTAGTAGCCTCTAGATTATCCACTGTCGGAGTTGAGCTAATTGCTCTCTCCTCGGGCATTGGAGGAGCATCATCTACTTTAGAAACTATGCCATCAGGCTTCATATCAGGATGACAAGTTTCCAGTTCTGGGAAGGCTGAATCAAGATGCTGCTCTTCTGCATGTGAAGTAACTGAATGTGGTGAGACAATCTGAATGTCAACCGAAATTTCGGGACATTCATCTTCTGCGTATTCTGCTTGAAGTGAATCATCTAACAAACTTTCATTACTATTCTTTCCATGAGCAGCAGGCTCCAAGTGAATCATCCACATGATGGTTTTCAGAAGACAACTCAGGGGGGAAATCATTTCGCATTTGGGAAGGACTATCAGAGAGATTAGATGTGCAGGGTAAATTTTCTCCCAGATATGCTGTATTCTCTTCCAGATTACTACATTTTGTATTAAGTTCATTATTGGAAGATGTTTCATCCAATTCCGGTTCCACTAATGAACATTCCATCAAACTTTTTACTGGATCTACAGGTACAAGCATAGGAGTTGAATCAGCATGACAGGAAATAGAGGATGGTTCTGTAAATTCAGGTCTGTAACTTGGGATATTGGCTTCCTCATTGCAAACACCATCACAGACCATGTGCTTTGGAGCTTGGGCCAATGGACTCTCCTCATTGACAGTATGCCTGTCAGATGTCATGTTAACAATCTCAAATTCACAAATGTGGTCTTATAAGTACTACAGGTTCAAGTAATTTTAATTATTATGGTGTGTTCCCGTTGAGAGGTAAATTGCTTAATGTGAGGGAAGCAAGCCATAAACAGATAAGTTGATTTTTCGACCAAACAAAATTTCTAATGTTGATTTGTTTGGTGGAAATTCTTATAGTTTATTTGTCTCATAGTTATTCTTATAGTTTTTAGTTGCGTCCTAAATAATTGGTTATAGGTAAATGGTTTTCTCTCAGCTGCTGTATTGATGAAACTTAATGTTTAATTTTGATGGGTTGATGACATTCCAGGTCAGCTTTGTAAATTCGATTGCGACAATTAAGGGTGGGACTCATGTTGATTATGTTACCAACCAGATTACAAACTATGTAATGAGTATTGTTAATAAAAAGAATAAGAATGCTAATCTCAAAGCCCACGCAGTGAAGAACCATCTATGGGTTTTTGTCAATGCTCTTATTGGCAACCCAGCTTTTGATTCTCAAACCAAAGGGACTTTGACAATTCGGAGTATGAATCTTGGAAGGAATAAGAATGCTAATCCCTGTCCAATCTTACTTCCATTACTGTCTAGTGGAACTGAAAGTGCAGTTTATAATAACTGGTATTTATTGTTGCACAGGCTACTCACAGAAATGGGAAAGTTCTAGCGTTTTATTCCATGCCGGAGTATGAATCTTGGAAGGAGAGTTTGGGAGGCAAGGCCAGCGGTTGGTCCATTAAGTACTATAAGGTTTGTATGTTCAAGATCACAAGAGGGATAAATCTAGGGTACTCGGTGTTTTTGTATGTTCAAGTCTCAGGAGGGATAAATCTAGGCAATGCCAGTGTTTTTGTATGTGTTGTCAGGAGGGAAAGTTCTAGCGTTTGATTAATTTCTTTGGGGAAACTTCCTACGGGGTCATCTTGAATGACTTAGTTGAACCGATTGGAATCTCAATGTTAGTTTTGTTCCTAGTGGAGTTGCATTTGTATTTGACTTGCCATGAAAAGAAGTTGTATGTGTTTTTTACATGGTTATCTAGTTTGGATCACCTAGTTTGTAAAGTAAATATTTTTTCATATTGTAGTAGGTGATCTATTCTTTCATATTAACTTAGATGTGCTATTGTCAATGCTTAGTACCATCCTTTTTTTAGGTTGGAGGAGAAAATGTTGCCTTTAGTAAATTTCCACATTTGAGGGTATTTTGAAATTGGTGATAGAGCTATTGTTGCTAATTAATTTAGGATTTTTTTATCATGGCTGCCAAATAGTAGTTCATTTTTTAGTTGGTTTGTGCACATGTAACTTTGTTGGTATGGGTGTATTAAATAGAGACTTGCATGAATATCTATAATGCATTCGTAAATTTTTTGTAGGTACTGTATGCGTTGGGGTCTGCTACCCCCTACAAAAAAATTACGAGAATGTGCTTAGAAAAAGCTTTACATCCAGGTATATTTAGGTTCGACTTACAGCTTTTTGGTGAGCATATCAAAATCCATATAAGACGTTGATTTTTTATACCCAGACTCTTCTTCATTCTTTTTCTTCTAATTTATCAAGTGAGAGGAAGATTAGTTATTGACTTTAAAGAAACTTGTCTCTTTGAGCTTACTCAGAGCTCCTGTATTGCATCTCTTCTATGATATTCATTGGATGATTTTATCCTCTTGTAATTGACACATTGGATGCTTATTGATGAGGGGGAATTGCAAGAAAATGGTATCAACTCAAAATAATTGCAATGTCACAGAAGTACAAACAATTCATGCATTAGATTGTGCAACTAAATCTTGTGTTTCCACCTCTTTGCTATTATTTTGAGTTTATATCATTTTATTGCAGTTGCCCCTATTGATAAAGCTAGATTAAGTTTAAAATTTGGTTTAGAAGAATTACTTTCTGCTTGCAGCGTGATGAAGAGGACATGGCCGAATTTGTCAGGAATTGGGTGTTTTAACAAATTTTCGTTTCTCATTGACTGCTTCTCGATACTGTTACACTAGGACTGCTGCTTTTACGACTAGAGTGATTCTGCGATTTATACTATGAAATTGGAGGACACTTTTTTGGTCAAGTACCTAGCATCAAAGTCAAATGTTTCTTTTTATAGTACTTTTGAACAGACTCTTAAATTTGTTTTAAATTCAAACAAACATATTGGAAGTGGGAATTGATTTGAATTTAGTGTGTGTCTTGGTAGGCCTATTGGGTTATCATTTATCAAGAAATGAGTTCCTTAGCACTAGTGTCATAGCGATCCCGGTCATCCATTTACTGTTCTGTTGTATTCCGGACTCGGTTCCGTGAAGTTGGTAGTGGTATCTATCTGGTTGTGTCCTTTAATTCCACATGATTGAGTTTTAGGATGTTTTGAACAGGGTTGTTACAGGTTGGTTAGGGCTTGGTTTCAATTCCTTGTTGTTCAGTTTTTAGGCGCTCCGCTCGAGCGGGTCTTCTTACGCTCGAGCGGGTACTGCACACCTCCAGTATCTCGGGTTCCTGTAAAAATTCTGCAGATGTGATTTATGCGCTCGAGCGGGTTTGTTTACGCTTGAGCGGTGGCGCTCGAGCGGGTCGTTTGGTGCTCGAGCGGGTAGTACTTTCTGGGTGTAAGTTCTGGGAGGTGGAAATCTGCGCTCGAGCGGACTGGTTTTCGCGCTCGAGCGGAAGTGCTTTATTCTTGTGTCTTGGCGCTTGAGCGGGCCTCATTACGCTCAAGCGTGTTCAGATTTTGTTCTTGGCGCTCGAGCGTTGTGTTCTCCGCTCGAGCGGGTCATACGTATATGAGTTATCCGCTGGGTGATTTTAAATCACTTTTTGCTTTTCTTTCGTGTTATCCGCTCGAGCGGGTCATACGTATATGAGTTATCCGCTGGGTGATTTCAAATCACTTTTTGCTTTTCTTTCTCTCTCCTACTTTTTCTAAAAGCTATTTTGAGAGCTCCTCTCTCTAAAATCTTGCCTTCTCTCTAGATTTTGATCTAGCTAGGGTGAGTTCCTCACCTTCGGTCTTTGTAAAAGTCGTGTTGATCGTCGAGGGCGTCGTTTTGATATGAAAATCTTGGTCTTTGGAGCACGTTTGGTTTTGTCACCTTCTCCTTTGGGGCTCCAGATTTGAGGTAGGGATATCCTACTTCTCTCTATGGATTTTGTCTTTAGATTTTAGTATTTGAGACGTTGGGGTTGGTTTGGTAATTTTGTGAAAGTTTGGAGCTTTTGTGTAATTTAACAAGAGTTGGGGTTTTATTTATAATAAACCTAAATGCATGTCTGGCATAGAGAAATGGAATAAATGTTAAATCATTGATGAAAACGGGACCTTAAGGGTTGTAATGTTAATTATGGAAAATGCCCTAATTACATTGTTTGATTAATTGGGTTAATTAATCGTGAGAAATGAGGAAATGAAATGGGATTGTTGAGAATGGGAATGTATGGGGTGAAAGGGTGTAGTTGAATTATTTATCACTCACCGAAATGAAATGTTGATTGAATATCCATTTGTGCATTTATTTTCTGTTTAGAAATAACTGCTTTGGGCTATCGGTGGAGGATAGTCGTGATTGTTGTAGACAATGCATGATGATTAGGCAAACGAAAACTAATCAATGGAATGTGTCATGGAATTTGACGGTTGATAGAATACATTAACTGTATGTATTGAATGATGGTATATAGAACCAATGTGTTTGTATACGTTATGTGTAGAGGAGGAGATGGGGGATGTACTCCGCGGTTTAGGGGAAGATGGGGGATGTACCTCTAAACCGGATAGTGTTGGGAGAAGATAGGGGATGAACTCCGTAGACACAGCTCATATGCTTGTCTAGAGAAATGAAGATAGAGCTTATATGCTTATCTTTGAGAAGTGTAGACACAGCTCATATGCTTGTCTAGAGAAGTGAAGATAGGGCTAATATGCTTATCTTTGTGAAATGTGGATGTAGCTTATATGCTTATCTGTGAATGTGGGGTATAGTCGTTATACATATCTGTTGAGACGATGATAGAGCTAATATGCTTATCTGTTGAAAAAGGAAAAATGAAAAGTAACTTGGACTCATGAGTCGTATGACATAAAGATGTGATTTATGTGGATGTAACTGTGTTGGCCATCTATCAATTGCTAATCTTTTAGTCATTGTTCATGGTTGGTTTAGTGTATTTCTACTGGGCTGTGGCTCACCCTATATGGGAATATCATTTTCAGGTACAGGTAGCATGCCACCTCCAAGGACATAGCTTGGGAGGCTAGAGGCGGACATACTTTTGTCGTTTTACTTTTTGATGTATTACATGTAAATTCAAGCCAAGGGCTTAACGTGTAAATGAGTTAGCACTCTTTTGTTGTAACCAAGTGTTGACTTGGAAAGCTGTAAGCCCGTAGGGCATTTGCTTTTGTTGTTAACATGTAATACTTTTGTAAGAAACTACTCTGATGAATAGAAGAATGTTTATCTTTATTGCCAATTCATGTCTTTATTGATGGGTTTAATGTTATTATTTTGAGGGCGTTACATGATAGGCCTATTGGGTTATCATTTATCAAGAAATGAGTTCCTTAGCACTAGTGTCATAATCATCATTTTGGCTTTTGGGCTTTTCATTGCCTATTAACAATACAAAAATGATTATCCTCCTTATATTTGGATTGGCTAAGTGGCATGTTAAAGTACCTACAGGTATTGGATTTGGGAAATAATCAACTATCAGGTCCAATTCCTTCCGAGCTTGGGAGCTTGACCAGCCTTGTGAAAATGTAAATGGTGTTTGACATTTTGTTTCTTCAATTGAGTTTATGTGTTTGCTTCTGGTTTGAGATTTTGCTTTTCTTGTTTCAGGAACCTTCAATCCAATGGGTTGACTGGAAAGCTGCCTTCTGAACTTGGCAATTTTAAATACCTTGAGGAACTTCGGCTGGATAGGAATAAGCTTCAAGGAAACGTTCCTGCAACTAACAGTTCAGATTTTACATCCAGCATGCATGGGATGTAAGTAAAAGATTCATATATAATTACACTATAATTCCTCTAAATGTTGCAGTTATCTGTTTGGGGATTGATTTGATGCGCTTTCACTGAAAATAGTTGCTTGTAGCAAGAATGTGAATAATATTAATTTAATTTTTTGTGGTAAGTAAACATGTGAACTTGAATGAAGAAAATAAAAATGTATAACTATATACTTGCACTTCCTAGTTATTTGATGTATAATTTAATTTTTATGATGCCCATGTTTTGATTTGTTTTTTCACCTTTCATAGAATTTCATTGTATATACTATTAAAACATTAAATTATGCACCAGATTCTGGATGCCCATGTTTTGCAAATTCAAACATTGGACCTATTGAAATTATGCACTTTCAGAAAGAAAAAAACAAATACTAGTTGTCAGTTAACAACAGCCATCTAATATTACACATAGGCCCAAATTTTTTCCAGATTAAATATCAAAATGAAATCTTACTTGGCTTATGTTTTTGAAAAATTAATTAGAATGAGATATTATTTGACTATAATTTTGAAAATTAAGACATTCAGCAATAAGAATTTGTTACCATTATGTTTTCTTGATGGATCTTAGGAAAAAGATAAATTGGCCAAACAGTTGAGCCATCTCCGTCACATAGTCTAAGACAAAATTTGCATAGAAAGCAAGTTATATTGAACAGAAACATAAGCAATGAAATTCTATGAAAGGTGAAAAAACAAATCAATACACACTACAATTATGAATTTCTGTCTGATGCTTGAGGGACTACAACAAAACAAAATAGAAATTGGTTTGAATGAGAATTAAAGTGGGAATGCATTACAAGTTCATGATCTAATCTTCAACATAGAGTAACCAAGTTACAAACATCAGATAATCACAGAGGCAAGTTTTGCAAGAATGGAGGTAACTAAACTACCACTTGTGTTCCAGGACATACCAAAAAGAACAGAGAGATTTGATAAAGAATATGCATATAGTACACGACATAACTACGGAAAGAAGGGAAGAGAACGGTAAGGAAATACTTTGGATTAGTGGCAAATTACATTAATGTCAAGTTGGTCTCAGAATCTTAACTAAATATATATGAACATCATATAAAAATGTATAATTTAATTTTTTTCCCCCTGTAGTTATTTGATGCAAGTTGCCTCTCTCTCTCTCTCATGCATACGAACATGCAAATGCATACATGCATGAATTGTTGCCTTTTAGTTATTGTGGCATGGTTCTGGTCCCCTTGATGCTTGCTTACCATTTCAGATTAAGCATGACCTTGCTGATGCTGACTACAAAAGATAGTTTCTAAACTTTTACATCTATGATGATTTTCAAAGAATCCTGTTTTAGTTCTTGAGCATTTTGTTGTCACTTCTTGTCAGATTGAACTTTATTTTTTCTATGACAATTTTTCACTTTGTGTGCATGTGCAGTGTGGATGGTGGAAGACCAAGTAGTGCAAGTATCTTTGGTGGTGGCTTTGTCTTGGGTGGAATTGTTGTTGGAGCACTAGGTTGTATATATGCACCCCAGGTATGTGTGTATTCCTGAACTGTTGTCTATCCATTAGAATTGGGTTTATTTGGTCAAATCTCTGGATTGTTTGATATACGGTACTTCAAATTTGATTGGATAACATAGTTGCTGTGAGGTTCATTTGCCTTACAGATCAGCAAGGCACTGGCAGGAGCAGACAGGAAAGATTTGATGAGAAAGCTGCCAAAATTCATATATGATGAAAAGAAAGCCTTGGAGGTGAGATCTTTCTCTTGCATTTTGGCAACTGCAACTGCCAAAAGATTTGGTGTATTTTTTAATTTTTACCAGGGATCTTGTCATTGATTCATGTTGACAATATGAACTCTCATCCACTTTATATGATTTGATGAGAACAGAGAACACGCAAAATCCTGACTGAGAAGATCGCCCAGCTAAACTCTGCCATAGATGATGTCTCTTTGCAGCTCCGTGCTGATGATACCCCAAATGGAACTGCTGTAAGCCCGGATGAACTTCAGGCTTCCATATGACAAACTGTTCAAAAGATATCCTGAAGTTGTTTATAGATGAGAAATGTTTGAAACAAATCCTTTAAATTTTCACTAGTAAACTAAGGGCTCAAGGTGGGGCCCTTATGTATTGTGTCGAATGTTAATGATTCAGTTAATTTGAATGATGCTTTAAAATTATAGGTTTATTATGGATTCAATGAATTATTAGGAATTACAGGTTTATTGTTTTCCTGCTTTGGTGACTAATTTATTAGTTGCGACATCCAAAATAATTTTTTTTCGCAAAAAATGACAATTGCCGACCAAGAGTTTTGGTCGCAAAAAATACATGTATTGCCGACCAAAACAGCTCTTGGTCGTGGAATCTCACTTTTGCCGACCAAAAGTTTTGGTCGCGAAAAGACATAAATGACGACCAATTTTTTTGGTCGCGAAATGTGATAATTAGCGACCAAAATTTTTGGCTGCGAAATGTGACAATTGGCGACTAAGAAATTTGGTCGGGAAAATATCACTTTTTCGCGACCAAAGTGTTTTGGCGACAAAATAAATTAGTCGCGGTAATTAAATATTTAGCGACCAAAAATTTAGTCGGCAAAATCCAACTTTTGCCGACCAACCACAATTTTGGTTGCGAATTACTTTTGCCGACCCTCAATTGGCGACCAAAGTAGCGACCAAAAAAATTGGTCGCGGATAACTTTTACCGACCAAAAATAGACTTTTAGCGACCAATTTTTTTGTTGCCAAAAGTGTTAATTCTTGTAGTGTATGGTCGTTTTTATATACGTACTAGATATGCAAAACACATATTTAAAAAAAAAATTCTTAATTTTTGTTGTACCTCAAATGTACTTAGTATATACCCAAGCAAGCCGTACCTCATTCAAAATAGTGTTTTCTTTTAATATAGGGGTAAAATTAATTTTATTGAACTTTTGTTGTTATTATTATTATTATTAAGATTAACATGATTTTAAAATTAAGTAATAGTTTGTAAGTTATTTAGTATAATGACATTTAATTTTAGTTTATACTGTTACTTTTGACATTAATATGAATTGTAGGTTGAATCGTACCAAAGTAAGTCATTTAACTAACTTTTGTATTACTATAAATTAAAAATCAATACTTTTTTTTATAACCATACCTAGTCATACGTGTACTTATTTTTAAAAAAATTTATCATGTTAACATACTCATAACGTAATTTATCATACCTTATATGTTTTCATCAATAAAGATTTTTTTTGTTAATAAAAAAAAATAATAATAATAATAATAATAAAACATACTCATATCGTATCAATTTCAGTACCTGAACCCACACAAGTGCTACTAGTTTCTCCATTTTTAATTTAATTTATTTTGTTTTATTTTTTACCTCTTTGAGAAGCATTCTTTATGTATAGAAAAAAAAATTACGAATTCAAAAAGTTTATTATGAGAATTATTGGAAAAGTAATTGTATTTTATGGAATCAAATTTAATTTATTGTGGATCACAGTTAAAATGAATATGGTTCACATTTTAAACCATGGATATTTTTTAAGTATGTAACTTTAGTATAAGATGGTTTGTGTACCGAAAAAAAAGAGGAAAAAAATGAAGAGGAAGAGAGATTTCGACTTTTTTTAGTCATTTTATTTTGTATATTTTTTTTTTATTATTTCATATTTTGCTCAAGTTTCTGTTTAATACATTTAACCTAGATGTACAAGTGGAGTTGCAAACGAGTCGAGACGAGCTGAGACGAGATGAGTTTTAATATATTTGGGTTTGTTTATTAAAATTGTAACGAACTCAAACTTGAACTCAATAAAAATTTAACGAATCGAGCTCGAACTGAGTTGGTTTAGGTTAAACTTGAGCTCGACCCTGTTCACGAGCCTTAACGTGCCAAAAAATTTATAAATTCATACTTGCGTATGAGACTAAAGTTACAATTAAAATTTTGATTATACAATTATATATATATATATATATAAACATTCTAAAAAAAATTAACATTTTATCAAAATAGTAATATTTACTACCGCTATTATATAAATGCATTATCTATAGTTAACTATTATTTACATTAATATTTTTTAAATATATAAATAACATATTTATCTTATTTTTTATACATATGTTTACGTTATTTAATATATAAATAATAAATATTAAACGAGCCGAGCTTATGAGCTAAAATTTAGAATATTTGGACTTGTTTATTAAAAATTTAAAGTGCTTAAGCTCGAGCTCGAGCTCGAGTTCTAATGCAAAAAAAATTTAACGAATCAAGTTCAAACGAGCTCTTACCGAGCTGAGTTCGAGCTGTTCATGAATAGTTCTGTTCATTTGCAGCTCTACGCACAAAAGAACTTTAAAAATTGACTATTTTTTTGTAAGACTACCAAAAAATGAAAGAAAAAAATTTGGGAAAGAAAAAAAAAAATTTAAGACTACCAAATCTAGTCTTCCACACAACAAAGCACTCACCATACGACCCGCCAGGTCAAATATTTCCTTTTACATTACATTTTAATTTGGGAAAATTATATCGGTAGTCCCTATATTTTGATCTATTTTGGCAATATGGTTAAAAGCTAGTTTTTCAATTTTGACTTTTTTGAGTCACATCATTTTTTTTTGGCATGTTTCTGTGTGAGTGAATTTCTGACCACACTGCCGAATTAGTACTTAGTTGGAGAGCACTGACAGAATAGATTAAGCCCGAACGACCTGCAACAGAAAGAAGAGATTTTTGCGGTGGTTCGTCTACCTATGGGCACTCCGACGATCAAGTCAGTTATTTCTTAAAGATATCAAAAATGCTTAATTCACTATTCAGAGTAAAAATTGCGTACCTTAGACCCATTGGGTGTGCCTCTCTTTTATAGCCAACTCAATCCTAGTCCCAATAGAAGCCTAGCTTTAATGGACTTCAGCTCAGTGCTTATCTTGGACTCTCCAATAGATAAAGATAAACTCCCTGAGAGCTTTATCCTTATCCAAGCTGAGGTCCTTCATCATTCTAGGACTCTTGTCCCTTATCCGCTTATCCTGGACTCCGATATCTTCGGAGATAACCTTGGCCTAGCCGAGATCACCTCGGCGTTACGACCAGGACACGTGGTACCCCGGTTGACACGTCGGCGTCACCTTGGCCACGTGTTGGTACTCAGAAAATATATCCCCACAACTGCCCCCTAGGTTCTATTACCTTGGCATCCTGAGGTGATGGAACCTATATCGTCATATCATATAACATGTCGGCTATTTTGTTGTATCATCCATTTATTGAGGTCATAATACGTCGGCTTCACATGACCAGGTCCTGTAGTCTATCTTATCAAGGCTTTTAGAACCAATAACCTAGTTTTCTTCGAGTTTAATAGCCGAGATCCTCCTACCAACCGAAGTCATTGCTTCATTAAACCAAGAACTCCAAGAGTTTTATCACACGTATGAGTTGTCACGCGAAATAAATTAACCGTTTTTACTACGCGTCTTCCTCTCACTGGATCGTACTCGATACGCGCCTGTAAGTCGTCTTGTGTCTGGGTGCACCGTCTGACAAACACGTTGCCCTAGACGCATTGATGGTATTTTGCCGCCATTCTCCGCGTTTTGATCAAAATCAATTCTCTCTCCCCGTCCCTTCACTTTTTGCATCACCGTTTCTGAAGCATCCAACTTTTTCTCTCTCTAATCTATCATTGTTCAAGTTTTTCTAGCTCTGCTCACCTCCTCCAGCGTGATTTTCACTGCTCCATCGCTTTTGTAACCATCGTCTGACTTCGGCGATCCTCATACCGGCCTCACTTTCTCTGGTAAGCCACTATTCCTCCTGGTTTTCAGTTCTTGATTTTACTGTGAACTTTATTGTTTTTTTTACAAACTTGCTTATGTCTTTGATCATTTTTAATTTGTTCCTTGATTTGCACCACATGTTTGAGTATGTTTGCTTCGTGATTCTGTTTTTTGCCCAATCCCTTCTTAAATATTCACACACTACTCACAAATTTGTTCACTTTTACCACTGTTCTTGGCCTCGCACCCTTGTGCACACTTTGTCACAATGTTCTTGATAGTTCGTCACTGTTCTTGATTCTGAAACACGTTCTTGTTTTCTATGTCTTTTCCAGATTCGTGCCTTCAATCTTCGTTTCCGTAGATCTAGGTTTGGGATTTGATTGTAGAACCCACAAATTTTTAGAAAAAACTAAAACACATTCCCCTTAAGATCCCCACAAATTCTTACCCTAGCTCATATTTAGGTTTTAGCCGAGGTCCTTAAAAAACTATCACAAAACACTTTTTTCCGAAATCCTCACGTTGCCCTAGACGCATTGATGGTATTTTGCCGCCATTCTCCGCGTTTTGATCAAAATCAATTCTCTCTCCCCGTCCCTTCACTTTTTGCATCACCGTTTCTGAAGCATCCAACTTTTTCTCTCTCTAATCTATCATTGTTCAAGTTTTTCTAGCTCTGCTCACCTCCTCCAGCGTGATTTTCACTGCTCCATCGCTTTTGTAACCATCGTCTGACTTCGGCAATCCTCATACCGGCCTCATTTTCTCTGGTAAGCCACTATTCCTCCTGGTTTTCAGTTCTTGATTTTACTGTGAACTCTGTTGTTTTTTTACAAACTTGCTTATGTCTTCGATCATTTTTAATTTGTACCTTGATTTGCACCACATGTTTGAGTATGTTTGCTTCGTGATTATGTTTTTTGCCCAATCCTTTCTTAAATATTCACACACTACTCACAAATTTGTTCACTTTTACCACTGTTCTTGGCCTCGCACCCTTGTGCACACTTTGTCACAGTGTTCTTGATAGTTCGTCACTGTTCTTGATTCTGAAACACGTTCTTGTTTTCCGTTTTTTTGTGTCTTTTCCATATTCGTGCCTTCAATCTTCGTTTCCGTAGATCTAGGTTTGGGATTTGATTGTAGAACCCACAAATTTTTAGAAAAAACTAAAACACATTCCCCTTAAGATCCCCACAAATTCTTACCCTAGCTCATATTTAGGTTTTAGCCGAGAACCTTAAAAAACTATCACAAAACACTTTTTTCCGAAATCCTACACCTTCCCCTCAGGCCGACATCATGGGTATGTGGAAGCATAGGGTAGACACCCTGATCAAGTTAGAATACTTTAGGTGGGAGTTTTCCATCCCTGC